AGTGCAGATTCTGTTGACGCAATGTTTCTGGTGTCTTTACATCTGCACCGATTCTGATGTAGATTCCAATAGATCCTGATAGAGGTCCGACCTGAGGAAACGTGGGTACGAGTCCTTCTCCATCAGCCCGTAGACGATCCTCTGGGCATCGTCAAAGCACAACGAGTCGGGCGTCTTCATGTTCCGCCTCATCAGCTCTCTGGTGTTGTGATCAATGTTGATCTGGAAGCGTAGAGTAAAGTAATGAGGATGATTAGAACAAAGAAGTAGAAAGGGTGTGTGAAAAGAACTGTAAATCAGTCTGCCTAATAAACTCTTCTCTGCTTACCTCTCTCGGAGCCTCGGCTTGAATGTAGCGTTTGAAGATCTTTTTGGCCCTAGAGGACATCCTGAAGGAAGACTTCATCTTCTTATAGTCTTCACAAACAAGCCAAAACTCAATGTTTTCATCACTGAATTCTGACTTCAAGTAGGCCTGGAATATCTTCATGCCACCTAAACAGATTAAAATATAACCAGTTAGCCAAGGTTGAGGAGGAATACTGACGATAAGGCTTGAATATGGGCTTTATAGCCTATTACTGAACTTACATTTGGATGATAAAAGCCTCTCAAGTGATTCTGACCACTGGGACATCTCCTCGTAACAAAGCCTTTAAAAAAAGATGCACTGTCACTCAAATGTGCTACAATAATTTCAACAGTTGAGATGTTAGTTTCAAGTTTTCTTTGCTTACCCCTCATTGTTAGCATCTTTAGATGATCTGCACTGCAGCCGAGACTTCAGGTTTCCTCCCCTGATGATCAAACACAAGGTTTATTTAGTGAAGCTCAATCGAAAAAGAGACAAAAGGAGATGATACATCGATTAGTTATGATAAAAATATTTACCTCTTCTTGTTATCAAGATCCATGTTAAGGTTCTGTAGCTCCCTTTGTGGTGATACGTCAATACTCGGCATGGCACCAATGCTTTGTGCGTGGGGTGTGTGTGTGTTGGGCTGCTCTTAGAGAGTTGTGTGACTGCTGCTGTGTCTGTTTGATATATCTGCTCAACTATATATGTAGAGCAGAAGTGTTGGTGAGTAGCGTCACACTATCATGCTGAGCCAACCACAGAAAAAGAGGAAGTTGGGGATGACGCAAACATGTGCGCAGACTGCAACTACTGTCTGTGTGTACTGTACCCTGCATCCAAACATGTTTGTTTCAAAGTCCAGATGCAAATAGGGCAGTGGAAAATTCAGCAGCAGATAGGCAAATCATTTAGTCTTTAATCCACCCTGCCTGAAAACCAATGCAGCGTAGATGTGGATAGACGTCAGTGTCTGTATTCTAAATATGAAGCAACAGCCAGTAGGCGATTAGCGTAGCTTAGCATAAAGACGAGACGCAGGGGAAAACAGTTAGCTTGCTTCTGTCGAAATGTATCAAACGGTTTCTACTAATATACTCTTATGCAATCTAACTTCTAATACAAAAGCGAAAAGGGCCCAAATAAATACAATTAATGTTGATTGGCTAACTAGGTCACTAAGAACTTTTGAAACAACATCCATAACATTCATCTGGCTGCAACTTACAAATTATTCATCTAATATATCATATTCCAATCACTCTAGACTATAGACTCTTATTGCACTATTTCACTATTTTACTATTTTCTTTTTTGTATTTACTTGCACTGTTTTTTCTGTTTATCTGTTTTATTGTGTTGCACTGTTGGATTTTCATCGTCATAACTACACTGTAGCTATGTACGTATGACTAATAAAAGCCTTGAACCTTGAAGTGACAGTTAGCATATGTCAAAAATGTTGAACTATACCATTAACTAGTTTGACAGATGTTGTTTTGCTGTACATATTTTAGCCAGTAGTCAGGTTTCCGACCAAATGTAACAGACATTTTAACTACATTTAAAGAAAAACTAATTCAAATGTGAATGAACACTTGTTTCTATCGAATATCGGTAAGCGAACTATGCGTTTTTCACTGAGGTAAGCAGTAGGTAGCACCATTGTCCAGTTGGAAATCATTGCATAACAAAAGGGTGCAGCAATAATCAGACCTTTAGAATCTAACTATAAACTATAGATCTTGCAAATGTTTTTATAGATTTAAAGATGTATTTTTCCTTTGTTCAGGTTTCTTTAAGTGCGAATTGAAAATCTGCCAAAAAAAGAGTTGTATAAAGAAAGCACAGGTGACTTAAAAGTTATTTTCGCTTTTGCTATGTTTTTATGATAAAGAATTTACCATAACCATGTTTAGCAAAACAAACTCACAATTTTAAGTAACATTATGGTGATTTTAAGTTAGACTGCTATTTGGTTGTATGTAGGCATATAGGGGGGCAATTAGGCCTTGTGTTTTCATAGACAGAAGTAATACCATCTTTATGTCACATAGGAAAGAGCTTAAACAGCTGGCTTAAAATCCAAAAAAAAATAAAATCTAACATCTAGGTCTGGTTCTAACCAGTTTGTCAAGATCATTCGGTCACCACCCACCAGGATTCTTAGTCAATGGTGTGAACTGTGTAACTGAAAGCTGTTTTATTCACTTCCTGTTATGTTGACAGGAAGCTGCCCAAAACAAAGGCTTTCACCTGTTATCTGTACATTCCCCTGGATTTTTGAATGAGTTTTTAAAAGAGAACATCATCAGTCCTTTGTTTTTCTTAGATTTTTAAATGCCTAGACTTCCTTGTATTTATGCTGTAGTAAATACCCATGATGTAAGCAATATAACACTGAATGTCGTAGGAGGAAATTGTTGCTGTTTTTCATGACTAAACATTTTTTTATTTGACTTCTTTTTATTTACAGTAGTGAACTGAACTGAGGCTAACTAATACATAAAATACATACAGTTCAGAACATGTGAAATTACTGTAGACGATTTTTCCAACCTTAGGGCTGTACTGTATTTTAAGGGTTAAAGCAGGGGTGTCAAACTCAAATACACAGTGGGCCAAAATTAAAAATTCGGTACTAGTCGAGGGCCAGACTGGTTCAATGTTTATTGCAAAACTTATTGAAATGAACTTATTGCACATATTAAACCTGGAACTAACAAAGCTTAAATTATTGCCTATAAAAACAACATTAAACATTAAATAATCAGTTGCATTCATTTCTTATGGCTCTATCTGCAGCTTTTCCGGACTCATTTTTTATCATTACATTTTTCCACAGGCCAACAACAGCTTCAAAAAAACTATTTCCCTCAAAGAAAAAAACAAACATGCCCTGTTGTCTCGAGAAAAAAAGTGCAAAAAGGAAATTGAAACTCAGTTTGCTGCTCTGTGATGCTAGTTTAAGCCAGATACTTGGCATCTCATCTTGGGTGCAATTTCATCAATGTTTGGGGTCAGGCTCTGAGCTGAGGAAACCCTCAGGATTGAGTGAAGGTGTGCGTGCAATATACCGGCGGGCCAGATCTAATAGTAATTAAAAATTATCCTGCGGGCCGAAATTAAATCCACCAAGGGCCTGATTTGGCCCCCGGGCCTTGAGTTTGACACATGTGGGTTAAAGGAATGATTCAACATTTTTTGAAAACTATTAACCACATTTCCCAAACCATTCCTTTTAGTAAAGTTGGCAATTATAAACATAACTCAGATTCAATAGTTTCAGATAATTAAACATCTGTTCAGTATTGCAGAGCAAGAGGTACTATTCTGGTAAACTGTGCTGCTGCAGAGATTTCGGATTAGATTTTCTACTCTGGGCACCAATACTGCACGTGAAATGCCATGGCAACAATCCATTAGTGGTTGAGATAATTCAGTCTGGAGCAAAGCAATGGGCTGACCAACAATTTTTTTGTTACGGTTCCTTCAGATAATTGTATTTCTACAGGATAACCAGCAAGGTGTCTTTCTATTACCACTCTTACATTCACTTTATCCTGATTTGTTTCATCTACCTCCATTTTATTTCAATGTCATCCCCCGTGTGTGCTTCAGTCGGCCATTTTGTTGCAATGTTTTGCTACCTGCACTTACAGCTGCTTTGCTACTACTCTAAATCATAATGTAACTTTGATAACAATGGACGATATATCGATATATTCACAGTGCAGAATATCAAGCCTGGATACAAGCTGATTTTTATACTGTTGTGACACAATTTAACCATGACAACACACGTCAATATGTAGGGGAAGTCTTCTGCTAGAAAGGTAGAGAACACTCAATTGGGAGTTAATGCATGCAAAAAAATTTAACATCTGAATCAACCCATGCTCGTAAACATAAGAAGTTTAATTATGCCATAACTCATTGGCCTAACATTTTCAAGCTTGATAATTGAGGTGGCATCAAATACATGATAATAAGTCTTAACCTAAGAAAAAGTTTTTAAGCAAACTTAATAAGTTGCTTTTGAGTCACAAGTCGGAATTGGTTTATCACTTTATCTATTTTCATGTGACTATGCTTTACCCAAGCTAGATGTTAAAACGCTCGCTGTGGTGACATGAACTCTTATCTCAGACAATTTCGTTATCGGTTTCTGCACCCGTCTGTGAGTTTCCTCCGTCAGTCGGACAATTATATCTATGGCTCAGTTTTTGATAACTCTTTCACTTCCCTTCAAGCAACGTCTACTTTTGCTGGGCCTGAGAATAAGTATGCCAAATTCAGTCTTTTTCACAGTACCCAATGAACTTCACCCTTCCACACACAGAGGGGAGTCGTTGAAGAGGAAGTTGTGGTGAGCAGCCTGTGTTGCCCTAAAATAATTCCCCCCTGCACATTCAATGCCACCAACAGAAGCAGAACAACATGTTCGTCTAACACCCACCGTCACATGGAGAAACCACTCCATGTCTACTTCCACTTTCCAAACACAAAAATTAGACAACAAACAAACGTTAACAGGCGAAAGAAAACAATGTAGCATTTTATTTTTCCATATTGTTGAAGGTCATTCTTACATGCTGAGTTTACTCTCTTTGTGGATGTGAACATTATGTCCAAATGTGTTTTGTTGTGCTCCTTTGTATTTGCATGCGTTTTACATACAGTAGGCGATGACACAAGTTTGTATAATCCGCCATGTCCTGGCCATGACAAGGCAAAAAACAAACAGATAAAGCAATGACTACTGTCTGACACTATGAAGAACTCTAAATAGATACAATATAAACTGTTCTTTTTTTATGGTAGATTTAAATAAGGGGGAATAAGCTTAGTTAAAGAGGATTTTCCCATTACATCAGATTATTAGAACCCTCCTTGTACTTTTTCATGATGCATAAACGCCTCGGTCTTTGGCTAATTTAAATGAAGACGTTCATGCGGTTCCTCCTCACAATGTACAAAATGCAGCAGAGATGTAAACCACACAAAGACAGAAAGGAAGTGTGAGGCAGTTTTTCCCTTTTTCGTTTTCAGTTGCTTCTTCTTGTTTTCAGAATGATGCTGCATGAAGGACTTTGTTGCCATCTGGTGTTTTTTTTTTTACAACCAATGACCGTATTACAGTATACAGATGGGTTAGGGTTAGGGTTAGGGTTAGACGACAACAAAAGTGATTTGGATCACATTCAAGAGGGCCACACTCAAATGTCATTCAACTGATTTATGTTTAGTTAGATATACCAAAAATCAGGCAAGAAAAGCTGAAACAGAAGCATAGCAATACACTCACATATTTATTTGCACTTGAAATTTAAAGCATATTTGGATTTATATTGGTATAATCAATCAGATAAAGTGATAATAATACTTTACAATGAGTCTTTTTAATAATTAATCTGGAGGGGAAAAAAAGGTAATCATACAAGCATTATGTGCACAATCCCTTTATAGATTTTACCTTGACATAATTAAAGAGATAAGGTATAATACAAGCTGCAAATTCTCTTGAGATGTAACTGTCTACTGAATCACACAGGTTAAGGAAAGAAAAAAAAGAAGCTATTTCTGCTACACTTGGGATTTGGATTGTATGGCATAAATCTGATATCCACACTGAAATCAAAGAGCGCTATACAGCAGATGAGAGTTGGAAAGAAGATTTGGCGAGCCTCCATCTGAGAGGCTGTCACCTTGAATCGCTTCTCCTCAGCAGTCCCTGATAGATGTTAGATTTTAGGAAGCGCGGGTAGCAATCCCTGGCCATCAGACTGTAGATGAGCTTCTGTGCCGTATCAAAGGAAGTCAGGGAGGGCTTGGAGATGTTCTTTGTTATGTTTTCTCTGGTGCCGCAATCTATGTTGATCTGGAATCAAACGATATCGCCCGAAGGCGTCTTAGAGCAGCTATTTTCATTCCCTATAAAGTAACAACTTGTGAGCAAATTTCTATGGTTCTAGCACCGTGAAGCAGCCACTAAAGGCCTTCTAAATTTCTCTCTTTCAGCTTGCAGTTGTTTACCTGTCTCGGCGCTTCTGTTTGGACAAACTCGGAGTAGATCCTGTTGGCGGAGGAGATCATCTCTGGCGCCGTCTTGATTTTTTTATACTCCTCACAGGCGAGCCAAAACAGAATGTTCTCCTCGCTGTACTGGGACTTCAGGAACTCCCGGAAAGCTATCTGACCGGCTGAAAATCACAAAAAATGTTAAGTTGGATAGCAATATATAAAATCACGTATATGCACAGACAGGAGAGACTCGTACCTTTACAACCAAGGACTTTGTCCACGGACTCACTCCAAGTCTCAACATCTCCCAGTGGATCCTTGGGAAAGCAACACAATCTACCCTTGAAAAGAGCATCAAGATCTATCACTAGCCAAGTTATCTGTGAACTCAACAGCACAATGCACCTGCAAACCACACTTGCATGTTTTAAAATGACTTGCAAACAGTTTAGAGCATTGACATCAACCTTAAAAATCACTAGAAGACCCTTCAGATCTCAAGACACAATGCAAATTGAGACTTACAGTGAGAAAACTCCTCGATATTTTCCACATGGTTGCTGTAAGCTGTTGCCTGCTTAAAAAAGGTAAAGGCCCCCCAAAAACAAAATATGCAGTAACTCACTTTATAGCCATCTCCTAGTCCTGTTACGAAGAGAGACAAAGATAAGATCTTGCCAGACTGAAGATGGGGTTGTGATTGTTTGGAAAGGAAGGAGTCAAGTGACTGAACAAATCTAAATGACCCACACCCAACATGAATGGAATATATGGAAATCTTTATGCAAAGTGTTGTTGTCGGGAGAGACGGGGCATCCTTCCGTGTCTGGAAGAGCTCGGCTGTGATTTTAAATGACCGCAAATGTTCTACAAAACTGCGCTCATCATAACTGTGGATTTGACAAAATGAGGATGGCAAGTAGTTATATAAATAACCTGAATTAAGATGATTTAAACTACTAACTACTTTAGATTTCCGTTCATCAGTAAGAACTACTTTATATTCTACTTTGGGCAAGCGAGTATAATCATATACAGTAATTCAGAACAGGATTTAACTAAAGCATTAAGCAATGGTCAGGAAGCTCCCGACCATAAACAAATAGCCATAAACAAATTCACTATTAAGGAAAACTCTCGTCATCCTGCCATTTGCATATCTGCAGTGTTCCTTATTCATCAAGACAAAAGCATAAACAAGCATTAAATGAACAATGTGTGCCTTATACCTCAGGTAATGCTGGGGAAAACCGACCTTTGAAACTAAAAGCGTATCATTTGGGAAGAAACGTTGCATGTTCCTTAGTCAATGATGAGGGTATTACAATTCATCCTGAGGGGAACATGAATGAATGTGCCAAATACCATAGCAATCCACCCCGTAGTTGTCAAGGCGGTCAACTGAAAATCACAAGTGTGAACTACACAGTGGCCCTCGAAGAAAAAACTCAGGGGATCACCAAATTCAGGTACTTCATTTAGTGCCGATGCATTGAGTAGGTGTTAAGATATTTCTAAGTTTGAACTTTTACATGTTGGCAGAGCTATGGGAAAAGTCAGAGAATCACTACAGTTGTTGGGATTCATCCTACGGGGAACGTGAATATCTGTACAATTGTCCTTGCTTATCTATTTAATGGTGGTCAAGAGTTCATAACAAATCTTCTGGTGGCTACGGGAAAAGTCTGGGGAGCCCCAGAGTGAGTGGGATTCATCCTCTGGGGAACAGGATTGTCTTTAATCACTTCCATGGCAATCCGTAAAGCACTTATTGGGATTTTTCAGTCCGGACTAAAATGGTTGACAGTCCAACCAACTGGCAGAAAATAAACATTAGCATTCTTAGATCATTTTCGCGAGCATGAATATTAGGTAAATAATTTAATGAAAAGTGTCAATAGTGTTATTACTACCATTTTTGGACTCCTCGTTCCCTTGTCGTTAAGGTTTTCTTTTAATATTGTTTTTTAAGATGCCTGAAGTAAGGTTGGTGGTTTTCACAGGCTCAATGACAGGTTTAGGGTTCTAGGGTTAGGGTTAGATTAAGTAAAGGAAAGCTTTTATTTGTCTCTGAGGCTGCCTTTACACGCATTCGATTCATTTAACGTGTCTGTTCACACGAGACCGCTCGACCCGCTGGAAACGCTGTAGTACATATGCCGGGCCTGTAAGTGGCGCTGCTGCCGCCACAAAATACACCAAAAGCAGTGAAGAAGACCCCGGAGCATGGTTGCCATGGTTGCCCTTCTGTTTATGCCCCGCGGTCGATTTAGCAACATGTTCATGTAATTCTCCATGTCCACTTGTTGCTGATGGTTGTGGTAGAGGAGCTGTAGATTTTGCACTAACACCTGTAGCATGGTCGAGCTGTAGATGTTGTACTAACATCTGTAGCATGGTCAGTAGCAGTAGCTACTGACAGTAGCTACTGACCATGCTACAGCAGTGAGCAGCAGAGGTGGGGAGAGGCGGGGCTATGGCTTCATCTATCGGGAAATGATCGTAGAGAGGCGATTACACGCAGCCGTTTGGCCCCCCAGAGCGTTCCGTTTGCAGATCTATCCACCTTGGGACCCGTTATCGTTTGCGGGGTCCGTTTCTATCGTTTTGTTACGGCCTCGTGTAAATGAAAGGGCTATACGCAAGAGAAACTATGCAGATACAACCCGTTTCGTTCCTGTGTAAATGGGGTCTAAAAAGGCAGTTACTTATACATGCCATCAAGCTGAACATTAGTTCACCTTTATGTTTTTGACATGAATTTATGAATCCTTGGTGTAGTTTGTTTTTAGCCGTTATCTTTTTCTTCTGCCGATTGGAGTTACGCTTCAGAAAAGTAAAACTTTCATTTGTGTAGACCATATTGCACTAAACACTAAAAGTGTTAGTATCCTCATCGTTTATGTTTTACACAGAGCTTATATTTTGCAGTACTCCAATGGAAAGAACATATTGATTTTTTTCTCAAGGAAACCAGCACGATTGTAACTCCCAGAACTCTTTTCAGAGTTTTTAGTGTACTTTTCAACTTTCATCAAATGATGTTTGATTTAAATGTTCTAGTCCTTCATTAGTTTAAAAAAAAGACTCAAATAGATCAACACAAGAAAGATATTTCTGACTTGCCATTGCAAAGCCGAAGGGAACATACATAGTCACGTTATCCTGAGCCACAGCAATGGTGTAAAAAAAAGGAACATTAAATTGTAAACCAAACAGTATATCAGATACAATACTTCCAGTGTGTTTTAACCCATGGTTTTATTCTGTCCTGTCAGTGGTGGAGATGTTGAGGGCCCAAACAAACCAATAATGTAAATCACAACAGGTGATGGAAAACACCCAGGCTACCCGTATTTGCATGTGTGTAGACGCACCAGGTCAAGAAATTTGTTTTTCAAAAAAGGCACAGCCAGGAAAGGAGAACTGGGGAGTGTCTTTGTGAACTCATTGCAAACTTCTCAAGATGTTCTGTATTGTCGTAATTCAGCCTTTCATATTATTCGATCAAAAGTTGTTCTGAACAATCAGTGTATCCATCCACAGCAAAAGGGACAACGCTGAAAAAGCTTATTGTAAAAGATCATTGATATATTCCCAACTAAATTGAAATGGGCTGAGTGTCTTTGGTGATACAGCAAAGCACTTCATAAGATGCATTTTTTCCAACCTTACACAGGGTGGCACTCTAGTCCTCTTCAGGCCCCCAATCTGTATTCGACAACAGCACCATTTGTCTAGCTTTCTCTGTCATTGATAGCAATTTCTCTTTGCTGTTGGTCCTGCTTGTTTTATTTATCCGAACACAAACATGGTTTTGACCTTTCTCCTGCAGGGTGGGGGCTGGTGCAGGGTGCAGATGTAACCGAAAAACCTATTCAAATTAGTTTTCAAAGCCCTGAAAGTAAATCAGTAAGCATGCCAGTGATTTAATTAGAAAGTGTTTCATCTATTTGTCTCGACTTGTAACATGAAAATAGCAAACAACAGGGATCCTTGCGGTGAGATTTGTTCCTTTTTTATTTTCAGCAGTGATTTTTTCCCGATTTTTGATGGCCCTAAAAATAACATATTGAGCAAATTAAATTATAGAAAAATTCAAGGTCAAGCATCTACTCGACCTCAGTGAAAAAACTCCCAAAGATACAAAATGTTCAGCATGTTTCCACTTGGCCCAATGCAGCTGACAGATGGTAGAGTATTTTTCTACAGAAATGGTTTGAATGATATTTAGCCTTCAGCAGAGAATCTGTCTAAATTCTCAAGAAAACCACTCAACTGTTCATTGGTGAACATGTGGTCGCTTTCAGAGTTGTAGGAGGTTGCCCGTCAATCATTCAACTGAATCTTAGTTTTCCCTAAACACAATCTCCTTGTTGAGGTCCCAACACTTTGGTTTGGCATTTAGCATTGAAAGTACAAAGTTTCACCTTGAGACTTGCAAACAAACTTTATTTTGGTCTGTCAATATCGTTGCAGGCCAGCAGCATCAAGTGCAAACGGATTTGTATGGGGTACATTTCACAAGTCAATATCTGAGCCTGGGAGTCGGCAACTCCGTTACTAAATTTGTCTCACGTAGAGTTAGATAAAAGCTTCAAAGATGAAACAAATATGTTCTTAAATTGGGAACCTGTGGTGAAAAAGTTTTAGTACCAGAGCTCCAGGGTGCAAAACTTCTGACTGACTTTTGCTAAGATTGAAGAATCTTTTAAAAAGCAACCCATTTGTTTGAGAGAATGTGTTTTTTGTTTTGTTTTATACATTTAGTACTGGTTCTCATTTAGTTTTACAAGCATTATATTATTAGGTTAACTGTTCTTTCAGTCTTTTGTTTCCCTCCAGTGGATCATGTTTGACTTGTGGATAATTTCAGAGGCTTTTTGTGCAGACTGAGTCACACATTTAAATACCAATGGGAATTTCTTTTAGTGGGCAGGTAATCTTAAACTGTAATCAATTTACCAGGACAGCTGCTTCGACATTTGTTACAACTTCATCCAATCAATCGACAATCAATCAATCAATCACATTTTATTTATATAGCTCAATATCACAAATTACTCATTTGTCTCAGGGGGCTTCACAGTTTGTACAGAATACAACACCTTCTGTCCTTAGATCATCCCATCGTACAAGGAAAAACTCCCAAAGAAACCCCACACTTAATGGCAAGCCTGAGCCAGCCCTAACTATAGGCTTTATCAAAAAGGAAAGTATTAAGCATACTCTTAAAAGTGGAGAGGATGTCTGCCTCACAAACACAAACTGGAAGCTGTTTCCACAGAACTCAGTAGTTGCATTACATTTTCCCCCTCTTCTCTGTGTGTGAGCGGACTCGTGGATGCCTAATTCATGTGAAATGTGAGGTATTGAATTCTGTTTCTTAGTTTATTTTTTCGAAATTATAGTTATTTAGGCTGAGATGTCTGGGAAGGCTACTTGAAAAAACCCTGGCATCTATGCAAATGAGATAAACCAGCTCTTTCTGTGTTGTATATGTGCTAGGGCTCTCAGTCGATTAAAATATTTAATCGCGATTAATCGCATGATGTCCTTAGTTAATCGCCAATTAATCGCACATTTTTTATCTGTTCTAAATGTACCTTAGAGGAATATTCAAGTTTTATACTCTTATCAACATATGAGTGGACAAATATGCTTTATGCAAATGTTTGTTTATTATCATTGGAACAATGACAAATATTCTCCTGAATATTCTCAACACAACAACCTCTGAACAATGACAAATATTCTCCTGAATATTTTCAATACAACAACCTGGAACCTCTCTCTCTCTCTTACACTCTCTCCCAACCCTGTCTACTTGCACTGAGCCAGTTGCTCAAACAGACAAGCCTGTTTACAGTTGTCGGCGAAATGGAGCAAGTTTCATGTATGTGACACGTTTATTGTCAGAGATAGCAAGGGGTGCATATCGTGGCAACCAGGCTGTTCATAAAAAGCACCCCCCAAAATAAAAATGTTTCTATTAATCCCACCCTCAAGCACTTGATGTAAAAATAAACAATACATTGTAAAGCACAAGTACAAGCACAAGTATACAGACAGGACGTCACAATTAAATAAAAACGCATATTAAATAAAAAATTAACTGAAAAATAAGTGACGAATGAATGCAAAATCCAGGATTCGACCACCCAACCATCAAAAAGACAACATAGAATAGCGGACTATACATTCAAATGCGTGTTCCCGTGTCAAGGGGTGCATTTCACGACGGGGGTGCATCATTTGACACAACATCTGCACCGTCCTTACTTTATTATGTTTTTAAACGGCCTCATCGAAGTTGCGCCGACAGAGGTCCGCCGTTTCCCCGCAGCGAGGCTTCCCCCCCGTTGACAGTTCACTAGCACCCCCCCCCCTCTCCCACGATCCAACTAACAACAACAACAACAACGTCAAGCCTTTGGGCTCTGAAACTACGGGGCGGGCCGAGGACAAATACACATTATTAACGCGTTAACTTGACAGCCCTAATATGTGTGTATTCTCTATGCAGTTGACATTATTAATTACTCCTTTATTTTTTCCACGCACATACTTTGGGGGTGAACTCAGTGGGATCTCTGACATTCCAAATTCAAATGTATTTGTCTTTATCAGAAGTGTAGCCTGGGCATACATATACAGTCACATGAATAATTTTGTGCTAGAGCAATGGGAGTTGATAAGGTCTATTAATTTTTCAGCGGTTTGGAATAGGGAGCAACACATACAAACAATTTTCCACTAGTCTAATATGCACACATTATGTCTCCATTTGTCACATTCAGATGTGGTTCAAACTAATTAATGACACTGAAGCCCTCATTAAAACGACTTTATTAAACATATATATAGATTTTACAACAGCAAGGCAACATATTAACATAGATAAATTATATTAGATGGCAGCAAACTGAAAAAGCAGCAATCATAAGTCATATAATTTCATATTAGTATTCAAATGAGATATGGATTTTCTGACTGAAAATTGATACATTTGTATTCATTATAAAGAGGAATATACTGTAAATCCCTCATTAAAAGCATTCAGTGCTTTGCAGTCACCTTGGCTGCAGGCTTTCACTGCAAGGTAGACTGAAAGGTTTTTTGACAGTGCCAGGGATAAAATCTAGTCCATTTGAATTAGAAATGGTAAAATTAGCCTGTTTACCATTTCAACTGTATTATGGACATATACAGTTCTATTGCTGGTTTGGAAGACAAAGCAATTGAAGTGTAATGCTTCTGAAGAAGGAGAGGGGCCTCAGTGTGGCTGCCTGTACGGCTGACTGGGTACTGTCGGTAGCGTTGAGGCACTTCAGCTGAGATTCTGTCTCGAAACATCCCACTGCCTGTCATTCAAGTTTTGCAAGATTTAAAGTAACATACAATTCTGCAATAAAGGTTTAATCCACAAGCAGTATGTTGACCCCAATGGAAGAAAATAGAGAGATTGTTCCATATGTGCAAAGTGAATACTCAGTTCTGATCTGGCCAGAGGGTGAACATTATTTTAAGATAACCACATTTGTCTGAAGTAATTGCCTCGTAACATTTCAAACGTATTCGTATGGCTGAAAGGCTAGTGGTGTCATCTCTTGTACAGAGGGGTAGTATATTAATGGTTCGACATCTTTGGAAATACGCTAATTCATTTTCTTGCCAAGATGAAAAAACAGAGTGAGATGAGAAAATGTATACCAATTGTCTGTATTATAGATAAAAACCTACCACTAGCCGTCAGTTAGCTTAGCTTAGCCGGAAATGAGGGGATACAGCTAGCTTATCTTTCTTGAGTGTTGTTGTCCTAATTTTTGTGAAGTTGTCAGGTAACAAACAAAAGACTCCAGGAAGTTTCAGTGTAATTCCTGCAACCCATGTCATTTTTTACTTGTAATATACAACCCAGTCTCACGGCATTTCGTGTTATAGTCACGAAATTAAATAAATTTAATCTATTGATTCGTGTTCATGAACACGATTTTCGCATTTCTTTCGTGTCACACAGAACGATTTTAAAAGCAATGTATTTCTATTGGTAGTAGCCTATGTTTCGTGCCTGCACAACGTCTTTTTGGTCTTGGAATACCAGAAGCTGTGTGGTTCATAAAAACATTGTCCGCCGTCCGCGAGGAAAATAAATGGGGCAAAGAGCCTCAGAATACTGAATTATGTTCAAGCTAAATGCTTACAAGGTCAGTAGCTAGCTAGCTCTTGCTAACCAAGTCAGTAGCTAGCTAGCTCTAGCGTTAGCTGGTTCCTCGTTAGGGCCTTGCTCTTCCTCAGCTTCACCCTATCATTCAAATATGGTCACTTCTGGTCTCAGACAACCAAGATGGTGAAGGCTAAAATGCCAAACTCCGCAAACCAATGGGTTACGTCCCTCTGGCTACCCTCATTTAATTTATCCAGTCAATTAATAGATTAAACAGTAGAGCTATAACATGTTATGCCTAATGCTACAGTAGGTGTATTTTGCTAGAGATTTGTGCACATCCAGGCTAGCTATTTCCTTATGCTTCCAGTCTTTATGATACGCTAAGCTAACCAGACGGCTGTAGCTGTATTCATCTTACATCCTTGAGTGGTAACAATATTCTCATCTATTTCTTGAAAAGAAAGCAAATAACACACTCGATCTGCAGAAGCAAACCTGTGGCTAATTAGCACTGTGCGGTTAAACAATTATGATGCTACTCATGGAATATCTGTTATTTAAAAATCTATTTCACAGAGTGAGGGACAACATTGAAATGCTATCTCTACCAGGCCAAAGGTTCATTTGTAGCCTCACCCCTGTCGTTGAATACACAGGAGCGTGACCTTCTGCGAAACATGTTGGCCCCAGGGCCTTTCTTCCTGGTGAGACCCAAATAAATGTCAGAGTTGAGGAACCTGGGAAAGGAGTCCTTCTTCATCAGACTGTAGATTTTTATCTGGGCTGCTTCAAAACAGCTCATTGTGGGCTTTGCCATGACCTTCTGAATGGCCATCTTGGTGTTGTAGTCGATGTTGACCTAAATTAAAGAAAATGATTTAAAACACAATGAATTAAAACTCAACTACATCTATATCAAATAATACACCATATACAATGATGCACAGTTTAGTCAGTTTTTTTGTCATGATTTGGATAAGGTTTATAACAGTGCAGGCATTGCATGTAAGCATAGATGGAAAAGGAGACAAAGCCCCCTGGGCGTAACCAGGGCAACCCCTACATACATGAAGAACAGGAGCTTCAGATCAACAGATACATCTTGTTGGTCATTTTACATGTCTTTGCAGGCGTTTTGCACCTCTCTTTGGTTGTATTTTGTCTCTTTTCTATTAGTGTGGATCTCTTTGTAGATGTTTTGCATGTCATTTTGGTCTGTTTGTGTTCATTAGATTTGCTTTTTAGTTGTTTTTCGTCTTTCTGAATGTTTTGCATCTCTTTTTGGATGTTTTCTGCTCTATTTAGTAATCTTTGTTTCTCGTGACTTCACAACACGAAATGTTGGGCTCTGGCCAGGGGCCCCCTTCCTTGTTTGGCCCCTGGGCCTATGCCTAGTAAGCCTGTCCATTTATTAATCAGTATCTGTATGCATGTTGATTTTCCTGAGAAATAAGTTCTCCCTGACCTGAATACAATCATTTATTTCCAAAGGGGAAATCAAATGCGCCAAAGCTAAAATATGGTTTTATTCATGACCCTGCTGTTTGGTGATAAAAGAGACTGAGAGCTGATGAGGAGAGATTCTCCGTTTTGGTTGTCACTTAGCTTAATTCGGTTTAAGGCATTCACTGACAAACATCCGCTCCCCATGTGTTAATTATCTGATGCCTGCTTTTGTGAATGAATTGTAGGTTTAAATACTGATAAGGACAATGTTGGCAAGACATTATTTTTAAAATATAACAGCGATGAAGCTTTTTACACAGCAATACAAAATATTCACCACAGCTCTCAAATATTAATGCATATCAAACTGCAACTCTCCCACCTTAAATATTGAAGGTCACATTCATTTACATTTGGATCTCTCTGCAAATCACTCAAGCTGTTTCATGCTTTCAAGCTAGCGCAGCATGTTTCATATTTACACAGGCGATCATGTTAGAATGAAAGTGTGTGGGTGATGCTCTCTGCAGTTCTGCAGAGGACTGTGGAAACCACAAACCAGACAGCACACTCTCAACGGTCAGATCCACTGCAGGTCATGAAAGCATATCGCATGGTGGTCGCAGCATCCTTGCATGGAACGGAAACCTTCGAAACTGCGACTGTGTCACACAGAAATAACCTGAGCTGCTTTGCACTACATGCATGACCTCAGCGAGCGGTTGCTCCTGACGATTGTTCGCAAAGGTCAAACCGCTGAAGGCTCATGACTATGCAATGCTTAAGAATTCACCCACTGTTATTTTCATATAATTACATATATATTTCAAACCTCCAAAAGCATTCCAAAAGCCAAAGGCAAAGGTAAACCGCATGCGTTGTTGAGCCTTTGCAGCTCAACATAATAGCCTATTATGCAGCATTACATCTACACAGTTTATGATTAATAAAAATGCCATGCCGTACCTCTTTAGGCGCCTCCGATTCAATATAAACCGTATAAATGCATTTGGCTTTGGACAGCAGCTTGGTCTCACAATCAATGGTCTTGTATTCTTCACAGGCCAACCAGAACTCAATGTTTTCCTCACTGAACTCTGTCCTGAGGAACTGAGAGAAGCTTTCCACCCCATCTGATGAAGAGAAACAAAGACAATGTTATTTACTATAAACACAATACAAAGACGCATTACTGTTCATCATAAAATTGATATTTTCAGTACATTTGGGTAAACAAAGCGCACATTAGATTATCAGGATGTGTTAAGGACCACTGGTTGAATTTAAAGGGGCCCTATTATGCTTTTTGGCGGTTACCCTTTCCTGTAGCATGTTATATAGGTTTTTGTGCATGTAAATTGTCTGCAAAAGCAGGCTAAAATCACAAAGTTTGGACTCATTTGTTTACCTCCGTAACATAGTCACTCTGTAACACTTGTGCTTCTAAAGGCTAAGGGGCGGGACATTTCTAAGCGGTTGACCAATCACAACAGAGCCTGCCAGCTAACCAATCAGAGCAGAATGGGCTCTGGTTTCAGACAGAGGGTGAAAAGAGGTGCTGCAGCACAGGCAGTATGAGAAAAATAAAGACATTATGAACATTAAAGAACGTAAACATCTCACATACAAATATGAATTCTGAAAATGTTAATAATATGGGCCCCTTTAACTAAGTACATTTACTTAAGTCCTGTACAATATCAACATAGTAGGGATTTACATCAGTATTTCCAATTGCGGCTCCTTACATAGCAAATATGATATTATATTATGTTTTACTTCATTACATTTGTCTGACTTTTGGCTTTGATTACATTTAGATAACCGATCTCGTATGTGTGTAGATGTGTTGATATGGTTATGATATTTGTTCTATTTTACATGTAGGTATGATGTCAGGGTAGAAGGAGGGTCCAAAAACACCAGACCGCTCTGCGTGAGTGTGAAACCATAATTTATTTAGTTGACATGCAACTTCTGTACCTACAGTACGTAAAGCCACCTCAGTAGCTATTTTAACCTAAACATTGACTTACTTGTCACGTAACTACGTGACTTCTGTAGTTATTTTAACCTAAACCACAGAAAAACCTAACCAAGTTGTTTCCTGTGAGGACAGAAGTTTATTTTGTAAAGACTGCACTAAAGGAGTGGTAATTGAAAAATTACTTTTTGTAAGATATCATACTGTATGAATTCTGTATGAGGATACATTTGCTGAATATGGAGCGTAGATGGAGTTACAATTTGCAACCCTCATAAATCAAAAGCTGTTAAAAGAAACATTATGCATTAATGTAGCAGTAATATTAATTCTGAAACATCATATAAGAGGGAGTATTTTAGTGCACAATCAAAATTGTACTCTTTGTACTGCACAAATATCAGAATACTTCTTCCACCTCTGTTCCTTCCTCTAAAAAGTCACTAAAAAGGCCCCAACTGTACAAACAATAACTTAGCAATAACATAACCCTTCAATAGCATAATTATACTTATAGTATTATAAATGTTGAATGCTATCAATAAAACCATTCCAAAATGAGCACATTCAGTGCTTCACAGTGTTTCAAAGTGACACTACAATGCAACTTCTGTGCTTATGAGGAAGTTGCACAGTTTCTGTATTGCTATCTGTGCGGACAAACATTAAAAGATGTAGTGAAACTACCACTTCTCACTCCATTAACTATTGATTGCCCCTAGCACTTCTTATCAGTTAACAATTCAAATATAGCAAACAGTTTGAGGGCAGAAGACACCCTTTTGTGCAACAATTTGCCTCAACGTTCTAGTGAACCTTTGGGCATTAATCTGACCTGAGTGCTTCAGCAGTTCTTCAAAGGAGTCGCTCCATTGCAAAGCCGCCTCTGGTGAGATGCTGCAAGAAAATCAGAGATACGCTCAGCTCTTCCCTATTGATGCAGCAAGTAGTGTTGAGGTATGCTTTGACACGTCTACATGCCATGTTGCTACCAGTGTGCAAAGAGTCATGGAGGGTACTGGAAACCCATGTTAAACATGAGTAATACTTGTCAAACACAATATTTGATATAAATGCATTTTGCCTCACTTGCTGGGTGGCGTATTTGTCTTTTTATGGGGACTGACGTTTTCATGAGAGCCCGACTTGGTGAGAAAAAGGCTGAGTCGGCTCTTCCTCTCCTTGTCTTTCTGTCTGCAAACACAGGAGGAAATACATCAAGTTCCACAAACTGTCAGCCCCTTGAACTGTCGCACTGTGAACCAAATCAGCAACTTATCAGAGAATAACTCCTTGCAGACACGTTGCTAAAGTGCCTTACAAGACGTGCCATAAATTACACAACATATCTTTGTGGTCCAATACAAATGGGAAGAAAAGTCTCGCTTGTAAGCGTGTTCATGGAGAGACTCATCATGGAGGACAGCTTTTGGAAGTCTATCAGCCTTCAATGGTACCAACTGCCCTCATTTTCAGGTACTATATAAGAACATTAGATCATGCAGTATTATGTTGCTTTTTAGTAAGAAGAGACCTATACACAAAGAAACTTGCTATATCTCTACTCATGACAAAAGTTCACTTGTTTTTCTACATTTACTAAAACAGACTATGAAATGAGTCTTAAAACAAGTAAACAATAGAAAACAGCTGAGTTTCACACACCAACCTGCTAAAATCGTCCTTCATCTTTGGTGCCTGCGAGTCTTGTGGACCAAACATTTTGAAATATGCTTCCTCCTTTGGGGCCATGGAGTTGAATTGAGGAAATAGAAAAAGAAGCGTCTCCATGCTGTTTTGTGTGTATCTGTTGTGCAAAGCGGCACACCACAAATAGCTCTCTGAATGTTTTAACCCATCACGCGGTGAACCATCTCGTCTTTTATAAAACCTGCTCGCATTTCATTTCCCATACCTTTTGCTCTACTTCCTGTAATGGTGTTACCACTTACAGCTAACAGCTCCATCAGTGATACAGAAAAGCCCCTGGGTCCAACATCCTGTCAACTGTTTCCTTAGACATTTGAAAAAGACAGCCGGCTAGGCTCATCCATGGGGGTTTCTTTGCTGTTTTGTTTGTTTTTGCCTGACGTTATATCTTATAATTATACAATAACACATTGTCCTCAAGTAATTATGATCTAATAACATAGGGGCCCCTAAAAACAACTTGTACACTGTCACTATTACAATGGTTTTATATGGTTAATGTTGTTGATTTAATCATTTTGAGCTTTACTTGAATTGTGCGATCCCAGGCGTTTTCTTTATTCAGCAATTCCACTTGCCCAACAAGTAAGGCCAGATGTACAGAATGAAATGGACTAAATAATGTGCCTGTGCCGACTGTGGGCTCTGCTCTTTCCAGAACATCAGCGCCTTAATGAAGAAAGACAAACTCTCTGTGACACAGTGGAATGGGTGCTAGATATATGTGATGGCTCCTTTATAGAAATACTCAAATCTGTCTTTAAAAATATCAGTGGAGGACCTTGACAATGTTTCTTTAGTGTTCAAAACAAATGTATACATTTGTATGTATAAAAATGTATTTGGTGTATTTGTAGACCAAAACAAATTGTCAGCATATTTTTTAGGGAAATTGACAATCATCACTGCCCAACTTTAATGTGGGCAAATAAAAACACATCAATGGCCGCATTGTGGGTTAATCGTGAAATTATACAAATGCATGCAATACTACTTTACATCACATTTGGCTCATTCAAGTTGAGCAGAAAAGGCAGAGGAGGAGAAATTGTTTTAGTTTTTGAGGTCATTTTTTAAATAAATCAGGACACTAAAAGCTAAGTAGATTCCAAGCCCTGTTTATCCAGACAATGTGATATAATACCGAAAGTTCCAGCAACGCAGGGTTCAGAATATTTCTCCCAACAGTTAAAAACGGTTTCACAGCAAACGCTGTGAAATGTCGAAGACAACCAATTTGACCATTGTGTTGCAGACTTTATGAGTCTAATTCATAAACTTTAAAGATAAAATAAGGGAGGGCTAGGTGGCTAGCTGTAGCTAGCTGCTAGCTAGCCACCACAGACTTCACAAGCAGTTCAGCAGTCATAGACAGAGTACAGTAGGTTACAGTAAGTAAACAAATATTTGATATATAGATGAGAGTAACACGGCCCCGCCCACTTTTGGGGGAAAATAACACTGTCATTTGAATGGCGGTCAATACAAATTCTGATGTTTTTGCCAATCAGTAGGCGAGGCCGTAATTTCGCATGAGCGAGGCGGAAAATAATTGTTTTATCATGCCAAAAAGCAGCTGTGTCGTTTATTGCACCTCAAACATAAACAAAAAATCCAGAGTTACGTTTTTCTGTACTTCCTCTAAGAAAAAAGGACAGTAAAAGAGGAGCTATGTGGCTTCAGGCTTGATCGCCATTCAAATGTTTTCCCCCAAAAGTGGGCGGGGCTGTAATTCTCGCCCGGAAGTTACGTAGATGTTACTCTCATCTATGAACATTGATCGCCTACTGCTATATTTAACCATATATCGAGCCCGATCGTTGATTTTGAATGATTTAATGTAATTGTTTGCATGTCTGGCCATTGTAATAGGGCTCTTTGAAGATCCAAAATCCACGGTTTTCTTACATTTCTGATCGGATTGGCAAAAACTTCAGAATTTGTATTGACTGCCATTCAAATGACAGCTTTTTCCCCCAAAAGTGGGCGGAGCCACTTTTGCCCGGAAGTGACGCATGTGTTACTCTCATGTATAAGCAACACAACTTTTCATACACCTGTGTATCTGCAGGCTAATTCAAAGACGTGGTTCAAACGTAATATAATAAACTTTATAGATAATAGAAAAGAAGGAAGGGCTTTGGAGGAAAATAGTAGAAAGTATTGAGTTCCTGGTAGGTTTAGACCTGTGCACGCTCCTAGCTAGCAGCTGGCTGTAGCATTAGCCAGCTGCTAGACGGCACAGACTTAAAAAGCAGTTCAGCAGTCAGAGTAGAGCAAGTGGAAAATTACATTAACTTTGTATTCACTTATCTGCAGACTAATTCAAAGCCTCTATTTTCTAACATGAAAAGCAATACCCATCGGTTAAAAAAACTAATTATATGAAGCAAAGGCTCTTTGCCGTACAGCTATGATAAAGTGAAGCTGCAGTGTCCTTTTCCCTTCAGGTACTCAGTGAAACCGAATTAAATAGCAGTCAGTTAGCTTCACTGTATGCCTTTGTCTATGTCAACATACCAAATAAGAGAACAAACAAAATCAATAAAATGACGTTCTCCCACCAGCTGGGTACAAATGATTAGAATTGTGAAATCCTTTTCTAAATAATAATTTAATTTACATTTTTTATTATGTTACTTCCAACACCAAGTCTTTTGTTTGGCCAATGCATGTATTGCCAGAGAAGAGGTTTGAAAGCTAAAAGCAGTTTAGCTCAGGGATAAACAATTTATAGGAATTGTAACTGAACTAAGCATTAAGTTTTGTCTGACACCAACAGTTACATTACGAGGAAATCACATGGTATGGTAAACAGTTAATGTCATTTCATTTCATCTCATTGTGTTCCTGTAAAATGGCACCACATAACACAGCTGTTAGTAGCTTATGTAAATCATTCTTTATGACTGTGTTTTGGATGCTGCCTGCTAAAAGGAGAAGTGAGGGAGTTGAAACTGCTGACGGGTGAAGGGGGAAGGAGGGGTGTTGTTACTTCCTGTCTAAGAACATCTGTTCACGTACGTCTATAGTCTGCCTGGCATGTCTGCACATTTTGCACACACACACACACACACACACACACACACACACACACACACACACACACACACACACACACACACACACACACACACACACACACACACACACACACACACACACACACACACACACACACACACACACACACACACACACACACACACACAAGAAACAACCTACAAGATAAGGTTTGAAATGTCTTAAAAATGTTCACAATTTGCACAACTCAATATGCGTTCATGCATTCAAATGCCAAATGAACAATATGCCTCAGTGGGATTGCTTTCATCTAAAAATGGGACAACGCAAGTGTGATAAAAAAGATGAAAAGAAAGGCATATGGGTGCTGAGCTGAGGGCTGGGCATTGATAAGGCCTTGATCTTTCCCAAGAGGGTACGCAAAGCCTACGTCAAACCAGAGACGAGGACTGAAGAACTTCTTCTATTTTTGTTCGTTTGCCACAATGTATATTCTATTCCATTTCTATTTGGTGTTAACATATTCATATACTGGAAGATAAAAAAGTACTTGGAAATAAAAATTCATAATTTACTCATGCATTCATGATTATGGATTGCACTAAAATTATATGCAGAAGTATGGAGATTTGAGGCCCATCCGAGAATATCAAACATTGACGTGAGAACTACTGTTGATTTTTTCCCTAAGCCAATCAGAGCATACTTAGCTTTGTTGGACTGGGGCTTCAAGAGGCAGGTGTTAAAATGGAGCATTCCTGGCAGAATGTAAACTCAAACAGACTGTATTAATAAAAGTATGGATTTTTTGGACATTAAATCAGTGTTGATATGTTCCAGTAGAAAGCCAAAATACAAATATGAACCATGAAAAAAGATCTGACCACTTTATGCAACCCATACCATCTGAATATTGACTTCTTTACACAATATTGACTGTATGTCACCATGCCTGCCCATGTTTATCACTAATGAGGCAAACCAAGAGGGGCTCTTATGGCAAAAGTGTCCGATAATTCCGATTGATCTTGGTTACCGTGTGGGCTGAACATGAGTTGGCCTACAGTCAACTACTGTAGGGTGGAAATCTACAGTAAATTGTAAATACAACTTTATAGGCAATTCTCTTCCACTCCAAGCCAAGATGTATCTCAAGTAATCTAGTATCATGGTTGTTGCCTGTGTGGTGTAAAACAACACCATTTGCCCACCATTCATTACCCAGTTTGGATGTTTTCAGCTTTGGACTTGCATTAGTTCAGATGAAGGAGTAATGACTCCTTCCGGGTGGTTGCTTTGCTTGTACAGTGAATACCAAACAAAAAGTAACATATCATGTGTAACCTGTTGGGCATTGCTGGACTCATCTTGTCTCAAACATGAACCCAATTAATTTAAGCAGAATATGCGAGGCCTGGGGTTAACATGGGCCCCAATCAAAGCTCTTCTTGGCTCCATTAGAAACCCGCTACTGTATTAATGAGCCAGAGGATAAATAGCAACAATCATACAGACATGTTGGCTAGGTGACTTGAATTATATAAATGTTTTTTTCTTTATTAAAGGTAATTTCTCCTCTTACCATTTATTTTTGGGGTGGACAATGTGCTAACACTGTCTAAAGCTGCCTTCACATGATATGGGATTTGCTCTTTGCTTGCCACAAGGAAGGGTGCCAAAACTTGCAATAAAAACATTAAGTTAAGTTTTGTTCCTATGGTTACCCCCCCCTTGCTATCTTGCGCTGCTTCATGTCAGAATGTCGGATTGGTTGTGCGTCGAAAGGTCAGTGGAAATCAAGATCAAAGTTGAAATAATTAAAACTGTTATGCTTAATCCACACTTATACAGATATATTTGCAACCATGCTTTTTCAATTAATCTGTCCTTCCCTTTGCACCTCAAACAATGTTTTAGGTTAATTTACAAAGGAGCTTTTGTAAAACTCCGATCAGGGTAAAGATTTTAGGAAACTCTGTATTGACCTGTAGTCAGCATACCCAAAATGTTTAGCTTGTATTGACAGTGTGCTCCATTATTACCTTCGTGAAAAATAAGGCGGCATTTTGTGCACCACAGGTCAAATAATGTACATCCAACCAGAACAGAAATTTCCAAATGTTATTACCTAAATGTATCAAAAATATGAACTTATTTGACACCTTATTAAGTAAAAAAGGCTGCTCTACAGAGGTCACTGCTACATTATCCAATGCTACACAGACC